CCCGGCTCTGCCTGGTGCCCTCTCAGAGCAGCAGCCCCTGCTTTTTAGCTGTGTTTCTCATCCCCGGCCTCCCCGTTGCTCTCCGACGTGACGTGGCACTCGCAGGGCTCTGCTCTCTTGCAGCCTCGTGCAGCTCTTTCCAGCAGCCTCGTACAGCTCTTTCCAGCATGGATTTCTCCCAGGTGTGGGCAGCGTGTTAGTAGTGACTTTTCACATGCTGCTGCCTCCCTTTTCTTCCTATTGCTTCTCCTGTGTAGCTCCTAGTTTGACTTGTAGCAGTATTTCTTTCTAATGAACAGAAATACCTGCCTGCTTACGGGCTACAAGAAAAGGCTTGCAAATACTTGGTTTCTTTGTTGCTGCCACTGCATGAGGATCTTTTCTGTCTTACTGGAATTAGAGGAAAAGCAAGGTTTTTCTCCAATAGGATAGAGCTGGGGTGGAGGGACTTAAGGCAGAGAGGAGGCAATCATTATAATGCTGTCGAAAGAGAACAAACAGCGGAGCCCGAGGCCAGGCCTGCGCGTTGCTCGGGGTGCTCAGCGGGCGCTCTGCCCTGGCGGGGAGGTGGCCTCGCGCCCCAGCGGGGCCTGGGGATCCCCGCAGGGTTCGTGGTGCCGCTCGGTGTCACCGTGCTGGGAACAGAGCGCGGAGCTGCCTGGCCGAGCCGCCCCGGCCCCGCGTGCCGACCAGCGAGTGCCCCCGTGCCTCTGGCCTGGGTACGTGCTCCAGGGCTGCGCCTACAGCAGCCCGTCTGCCCAGCGCGTTCTGCTGCGGCTCCCTCCGCCCGGGAACGGGCTCAGGGATCACGCTGGGCACGGACACGGCGCAGGCTTCTTAGCGGCTACCGCGGCATAGGCAAAGGCTTGGCAAGAAAGCCCTGCGGCAACCAGCACAGAAGTGCTGGGGGTTCAGTCACGAGACGGCCACAGCACCCCGGCAGGTCGAACAGATTTGTGTTTTCATGCAGCTGGATGCTTCTTTGGGGTGGGTAAAGTACCTCGAAAACATTTGCCTGTGTGTGCACCAGGGGAAGATGCAAAAGAAAGGCAAGTTTTACTGCAGAGTGTGAATTTAGGAGAGTGAGGGATTTGAGGGTCTGGAAGAAGAATGTTTGGAAGTGGCCTGACAGAAAAATTGAAAGCAAGAGGCCCTCCCTGAGAACTAAATATGTCAGCTGCAAAATTGGCTTTTTTGCCTTATGTTTTCTTCTTGTTCTTTCCATAGGTGAGTACATTGTGAGGAAGATAGGTGGCTTTACTACAACCACCCTAGCAGACCAGCCAATATCCAAGACCAGCCAAGCAGCGCTGGCTTCATGTTTGCCTTTTAGCTGAGATGCTCTTGGCGGCCTGGCAGATGGTGCCTCTGTGCACCCGGCCGCTTCGCCACGCTGTCTTACCCTCCCTCGCCTGCTTCATGGTCCCAGTGTTTTATTACGGCAGGAGAGCATTGCCTGAAAAGTCTTTGAAAGGTTTTGGTGCTTGCATTGCTGCCAAAAAGTCTTGCAAAGACTTCCCAGGTCAGTGTTAAAGTTACTTCTGATGCTGATGAGACAGCAGCCAAAATCTGTTGAGAAAGAGAAGTTTGGGCTGCAGTGGGGCTCGGAGCAGCAAAACTGTATTGCAAAGAAGACGCTGTGGGAGGGTGGCCACAGAAGCCTGTGCTGGTTGCACCCGTTGAAACTGGAGCGCTGGTTATAACAACACGGTGGCTGCCCGGGTTGGGAAGGTCCCCCTGGGTGCTGATGGGTCCTGCACCTGCCCTACCTGGGCATGGCTCGCGCCCCGGAGACTCCTCGGGCTTTGCGGTGAGTGATCCTTGCTCTGTTTCCCCTTGCTAGGTCCACGGGAAATGCATGTGCAAGCACAACACAGCAGGAGCCCACTGCCAGCACTGTGCTCCGCTCTACAATGACCAGCCTTGGCAGGCTGCAGACGGCAAAACCGGAGCCCCCAAAGAGTGTCAGTGTAAGTAGCCAGCTGGGGAAAAAATAAGTGTCTCCAGAGCAGCTGCAGGGCTGAAACTCTTCCTGCTTGCACACTTTTCCCTGCTGTTTCCAAGAGACAGCCAATACCCAGGCGCAGGCAGCCGGGGGAAGTGCCTTGGCGAGCGGGGACCCCGAGCCACACGGCTGCCCGGCGCGCACCGCGTGTCCGCACATGGGGGCCATTCCTGTTGGCGAGGCCGCTCGCAGGGCGCTCTCCTGCGCGCATCTTCCTGCCTGCGTGCCCTTTCTGAGGTGTCCAGGCACATCTGGGGGGGATGTGGCCTCCTGCCTGGCGGGCTGCAGCTCACTGCTGTGATCTGGAGGCGGCAGGACAGGGGAGGGGGGTGCAGCTGGGGGTAAGGAGTGTGCACCTTCTCTTCTGGGCCTTTTTCATTCTGGGGTCAAGCCAGCCACAGCCAAGAGCTTTTGGTGCCCCCTTGTCCTTGTCCCCAGGGCGCTGGGTCTGAGCTGAACGAGTCCTCCCAGGCCCAAAGGGCCCTGGGCTCCACTGGGCTGGGAGGATGAGCTCTGCAGGGCGGCAGCTGCCACAGCGGCCTGTGTACTGCCATCCTGGCGAGGGCTCGGCCACGATGGGCGCTGCTCGGCCCTGGCTCTCGGCTAGCAGCACCTCAGCTTGCATGGGGCTGTCTGCATGGGCTTCAGCCTGGATAGTCTCCGAGGGAGGGACAGCGAGTCTGCGCATCTGCTGGCAGCCTGTGTCACACAGCGGGTGCAGCGGGTCTCACTAACCTCGAGGAGTGCAGGCGTGTAGCTCCCTCCAGCACCCGCGCAGGGGAAGGGGGACACTGGCCCCCAGGTGCCTTCTCCCTGCACCTGGGGCGAGGGGCTCCCGCTGCGGGTGCGGGGCCCTGCTGCTGTGGGGTGCGGGGCAGTGCGGGGCCCTGCGACTTTTGAGACTCAGTGTCTCCAGGGCCTCCAGCACAGCCCCTTCTTCCCCCAGGCACACAGGGGCCGATAATTCAGGTGATCCCTTGTGTAATCTCTGACAACGCTTTCGTTTTGCCACATCAAAAATGAGCTACTGGAGTATGAAGTACAGTGTAGAAAAAATATTATTTTTCAAAAGTGAAAATAAACCAATAAAAGAGAAGCTACCTTTTCTTAAAGTCATTCCTAGGGAGTGGGAAACATGGATGAAAATGTTGAGATACCTCAAATATCTGAATAAATAGCATGTTCCTAAGTCCAGTCTGCCATTCCATAGTGCAGTTTGGGTTTTCACTTCTCTTTTATATAAACCAAGACCTTTCCCTGCCTCAAGAAGTCTTTATGTTCCCTTTGGCTTCACTGCAGCGTGCAAGTGCAATGGGCATGCGGACACTTGTCATTTTGACATGGATGCGTGGCTGGCGTCGGGCAACCGCAGTGGTGGCGTCTGCGACAACTGCCAGCACAACACGGAAGGGCAGCACTGCCAGCGCTGCAAGGCGGGCTTCTACCGGGACCTCCGGAGGCCCTTCTCTGCCCCAGACGCCTGCAAACGTAAGTCAGCATCGTCTCTACTGGGTGCTCAATAAATAGAAAGGTTAAATAGAAAGGTGTCAGACTGAAAGGTGAGATCTTCCTGCTCCAGCTTGGAGCAATCATGTTGCTCCAGCAAAGGACGGGACGATCTCAGCAATGTATTGACCACATTCCCTTACTGATGCTGTTTGCAAAAAGCAACCGTGAGGTTTGCAGGATGAAAGTCTGCAGCTGACCAGTGTTTCCCGAGGATCCCTCTAGCTTTGGGGTGGGGGAAGAGAGATGATTCATGGATGTTCTCTGGCTACTTATGGAGAGCAGTGTTATCGGCGTGTGTCCTTGTTTGGTGATGACTGAGACCCCAGAAGGAGGGTGCCTTGGCCAAACGGGGAGCAGTCAATAAATAGCATCGCCCACCAGCACAGGTTCGCAGCGGCAGGTGGAAATGGAGGGAGAAACAGGAACACAAGCTAAGTGATATGCCAGAATGCAGGACAGCAAGGAAGCCAGGCCAGAGGGCTTGATTTGGCCATGTGTGATATTCAACATTTCCCAAGGAAAAGCAGTGATCCAGGAGCAAAGCTCTCCAGGGAGCTGTGTGAGCCATGGTGACTCACCGGAGGGGACTCCAGATCCCCAAACCACTCCAAGCACTTTGCACAGGGGAGCTAAATATAGGGGCCCGTCATACTCGCTGCTATGCAGCATATGGCCACCCACTGACTCACTGGATTTTTTCTGCCTGACCTAATCTGGAGCAGGGTCTTCATCAGTGGCAGGGAAAAAAAAATCCCACTTGTGCCCCGTTTATGTCATTGGATGGAAAATGGAGCACATTATCAACTTCCAAAAGAGAAAACTGGGTTTGATCAAGGAGAATCTGGCGGCTCGTTTCCATGCCAGGGAGCTGGGGCTTGGATCACACGTGCGGTTTCACTTTCGTCTCAGGGCCACAGAGGGAATTACCCCTTTCATCCGGCTCTTGCTCTGCAAATTCTCCTCCTGAGGCACAGCCAACATGGCAGGGAAACCTTCCTCTTCTTGACCTTTCGCCCATGCCAAAGATGAGCAGTAGCATCTGTGTATTTTACAAACCTGACACTCCACATGGAAACAGGATTGACCACAGGTCTTCATCGCTTGAGTAAATAATTTGTTTGCTGCTGTAGTATGTACATCTTTTTTTTTTAGAGTTACCTTAATTACTTTTCAAAGTCCCTTTATCTACCTATGTATGCTGGAGACACAAGTCCTCCTATCTGAAATATCAGATACTTTGCCAAATTATGGCCTCAACTTACACAAGAGTATTTTGTTTTGAAGTCTCACTAATGAAAATATACATTTGACTCTTGGACTTGGATTCAAAGGAGATATTTGTGGGACTTTTTCTAATTCCGATCTGCCCTGCAGATAAAACAGAAGAATTGATCTCACACTGGATTAGTTGAATTCTGGTAGAAAACGTATTAAAAAATATGAACTAAACTCTATTAGATTTTCTTAAAGTTCTGAAATGTGCTTTAGCTGTGGTTGTGCTGCCTTCACTAGCATTTTAATTCTTGTTGATTTTACATGACAGTACATGTCAGGGATGAGCACGTGCTTTTTAAATTGTTGAAGGCAAATTAAGTGTTTCCACTGATTTGAATGTGGTCTTCCGGACACTGAGAGATAACACCCTTCACCTTGGAGGTGGGAGGAGAGGTCGTTGTCTCCTACCCACACAAGCCACTGAAGTTTTACAAGGACTTTGATACAGTTTGCCCAGTGCCAAATCTTGTGCAGATGTCTAGAGGGTCCTAAGGGGAATCAAGCTGCCCCTTCTGAGCTAGGATCAGCATCGTTTGTCTTGTAAAACCAGATAGCAACAGCGGTACTGAGATGCATTGCTATAAAACACTCGCCATCCTGAAGGGAAAGCTGCCAACACTGTGTGTGTGTGTGTGTGTGTGTACAAATAACAATCACAGGATGGTTGAGGTTGGAAGGGACCTCTAGAGATCCTCTAGTCCAACCTGCCCTGCTCCAGCAGGGACACCCAGAGCACGGGGCACAGGGTGGCATCCAGGAGGGTTTGGAAGATCTCCAGAGAAGAAGACCCCACAACCTCTCCGGGCAGCCTGTGCCAGGGCTCTATCACTCTCACAGTCAAGAAGTTCTTCTCATGTTCAGATGGAGCTTTCTGTGTTTCAGTTTGTGCCCATTACCTCTTGTCCTRTTGCTGGGCACCACTGAGAAGGGCCTGGCTTCCCCATGAGACATTTATAGTCATTGATAAGCTCCCTTCTCAATCTTCACTCTTCCCAACTAAACAGCTCTCTCAGCCTTTCTTTATAGGAGAGATGTTTGAGTCTCTTTATCATCTTCGTAGTCCTACGCTGGACTCGCTCCGGTAGCTTCATGTCTTTTCTATTTTGGGGAGTCCAGAACTGGACAGGGTGCTTCAGGTGTGGCCTCACCAGGATTAAACCAATGCTAGTTAAATCAGGCATTACATCACAACATTAGCTATAGGATAGCCAGACCTCAAGGGACTTGATTAAAAGGTTTATACCAGCTGTTATTGGCAGGAAGAAGCTGTGGAGATTAAATGATTAACAGAAACTTTTATTGACATAATGGTGGACATAAATACTGATGCAGTCACCTCAGTTTTCTGAATTCATTTTTAAAACATTGACCCAGATTTTTTTTCACAATGCCATGTGTTTGATGTCTAACATAATTTTGCTTCCTTTTTCCACACATTTTCCACACATTTTCCACAAGTCCTTTCTTGCCTTACGAGCTGCCCTTCTGCTGCTTGTTGAGGAACCAGCAAGGCAGCTTGCAGAGCTGCTGGCAAGAGAGGTTTTTACCTGCACAAATCCCACCTCAGCATTTTCTGGACTCTGGTCCTCATAGCAGGTTAGTGCTTTTTGACACAGTTCCAAAAAAACAGCAAATGCTTAATGACTATTAGATTAAATTATATAAGACTGCGAGTCTACACCTGGAGCATTTCCAAGGACTGTGTCATGGTTTGCAAAAATAAGGAACATGTGTGATGCCCTGTTATTTTGTCAGGGAAAGCCACAGAATTGCCTACTGACTTCTGGCTCAAGTCACCATTATTGCTCAACTGCAGAGTAGCAAAGAAAATTTAAAAATACCAAGGTCAAAGTAAATAAAAGAGTTGTTAACCCATAATCTTTAAGGATACTTAAAAGATTATTTTAGACAGAGAGTGTTTAATATTTGCTTAGGAGTAGGTGTGTACCAGATAAAATGAAACATTTGCTATTTGAAACAGCAGTCTGTTCCTCTGACTCTTTCCCCTCGCCCTAATACCTATTAGTCCTAATAGTCCTAATACCTCTCCCCCTCCCCCTAATACCTATTAGTCCTTTTCTTTACATCCCCTATGAATTTTTAAGCCTCAGCTACAGTACAATTGCAGACAATAAATCAGGTTTCATAATTGATGAGTTTATTTTTGCTTTTAAACTGTAGGGCTTTTAGGGTAAATATTTGTTGTTTCCAAAGGTTAACTGACAGCTCGCGAATCCAGGGGGGAAACTCAGCTCCTTTGGCATCCCATTCACTGGATTTCACTCCCAGGCAGTACCTCTGAAGCACTGACAGTTTTTCCTTCCTATGTGCAAGGAAGTCAGGTAGAAAATATTGCTACAGAATACAGTGATGCATATTGGCATTTTAATAATGTTACTCATGAAACTAAAAAACAAAACAAAAACACTATTGGAAGCTTTTTCTTGGGCACAGGCTAATGGACCTACTAAGGAGCATGGCTTAATGGCCCTTATCCCCCTGCAAAGTCCTCAGTTTTGGGGCCCTGGTGTTTGGGAAGCCCCATAACTCAGGTGTTATCGTGATACCTGTGGGACAGAGTCATCCCCTCACCTCATGCTGAGTCCTGCTCTSCTCACAAGGACATCCTCCATGACACGCTACACAAAAATAGCTGTAGATGCTTTATCTACTGCTCTGCTGCCTTTCCCGTCCTCTTTGGGATTGTGTCTCAGGCTACAAATACTACAGTGAGTTGCACATAGGAGGAGAGGAGGAAAACTTAAAAGCAACTCTTAAGTGTGGCAGACTGTGAGATAGCAGTAATTGTAAGCACCAGATTTCACATCATCTGTCCTTTAGTATCTTCTTTCTGTCTGAGCGTGGAGGTGCTTGGTCTTATTTTCATGCAATTCTGTTACAGTTTGTGTAACTTTTACTTTTTATTCCTCTGCTGTATCTCAGCATGCTGTTCCTTCCACAGCACATCACAAATGTTTATCGTATTATAAATCTACTATTGCTAGTATCTAGATTGATACTAGTCAGTGTTACAAAGTGGGCTCCACCTCAAGATGAAAGAACAAAAAACTTGAATTTGACAGCTTTAATTCATCGACACCCCAAGCATCGCTTCCTTCTCCAGGAGGGAGCCCAGCTGCAGAACCAGCCTCTCTTGGAGATACTCTGAAGTATCTCTTGGAGATACTTTAGCTGATTTTAAAATCTCTCTTAAGTGAACTCCACTCCAAACAAATAAGACAAACAAATTTTGAATTTGCGTTCAAAATTGTTTTGTCACCTGCTGTTTTACATGGGCTACAGTTTCTGGAGTGCTTTGAGATTTCTTCTTGAGGGAGAAATTTTGTCCAAACCACAGAACAAATTTACACAGACATGATGAAGAGGGAAGAGCACATTTGGACATGACAAGCCTCTAGAAACACATCTCTTTACAGCTTTAATTTAATAATACAATTAATTTAAAAAATACAACCAGTTGCATTATCACTTTTCATTGCCTTTAGTCCCTTTTGAGTTTGATATTGTGCTTTTCACAATGGCCTTTGTAAGATTAATTCTCATTCTTCACCACGGTCTTGCTCTTGCCATTGAATTTCCCAATTTCTCAATAGGTAAATAAATAAATAAATAAATAAATAAATAAATAAATAAATGAGAAAGCTTTAACTAAAATGTAAAGAGCTGCACAAAATTTCAACAGATTTGGGAGTGAAATTCAGCTGAAGTGAATTGAACCTGACTGAGCCTGTATCTCCAAGCAGTGGGTCTGGCTCGTTGCATGAGAACAGTGCAGCGCTAAGTGCTTGATATTTCCCCTGAAGGGGCTGAGGAATGCCATAAATATCCAGTGCACCTCGCAGGAAAATAGAGCATTGGGATYCGTGTGTCAGGTGTAAAACACTTCACAGACTTCAGGAGAAAGGTATGCAAGTCTCGCTGAGCCCTGTTAAAAACTGTGCTCTTAGAGGTGCTGGAGTTCACTGCCTGCAGCGAGTGACACAGTTTGTGGAGAGGCTTTCTAATCTTTTAATTTTATATAATTATATTTGGTGGGGGGGAATGGAAAGGGTGGGGAAAATGTGGGGATTACTTTGACAAAGAGTCTGGAATCTGAGTCTCCTCTGTAAATTGTTTGCCAATATTATTTCATCCTTTAATATTTTAAAACTACAATTCAGGTATGTTAAATCCCCGAAACCACAAAAATGTCATCAGAGCAGATTTAAATGCCTGTGTGCCGCACTAAGTGTTTTAGGACAAAGCACAGTTGTGTTACACGCACAGCCTTTTCTTTCTATTACCTTCACAGCTGCAAAATAAATATTTGGTTTAGTATTTGGTGACTTTTCCTTCCAAATAGTGTGTTTGGTTTTTTTTCCACAGGAAGTTCACTTTTTAAGTAAATGGAAACTTAGGCAAAAGTATTCCAAGGAGATCTTAATTATTTTTTCATCCATCACCATGAATTTCCTTGTCCAAATAGTCAGGATTTTGGTTTACACTTTTGACAATTAGAGTTCAATTTTTTAAAAAAATTATATATTAGATTTTTTTTTTCCTTACAATATTATGTTAATGATGGAACAACAGAATCACAGAATCACAGAATATTCAAGGTTGGAAGGAACCTCTGGAGATCATCTAGTCCAACCGGCTGCTCCAGCAGGGACACCCAGAGCACGGGGCACAGGGCGGCATCCAAGCGGGTTTTGAAGACCTCCAGAGAAGGAGACTCCACAGCCTCCCTGGGCAGCCTGTTCCAGGGCTCTGTCACCCTCACAGGAAAGAAGTTCCTCCTTACCTGGAGATGGGACTTCCTGTGTCCTGTTGTGCGGGACACAACAGGTCCCATTGTGTTCATACAAAAAAAAAAAAAAAAAAAAAAAGCAATGGACAAGGGCAATTTCAAGGCACCTGACCCAGGTATCCTTGATTTGGGAGGTTGGCCATCTCTTGGTTGACTGTCCTGATGCACTTCCCACTCATCATTCGGCTGTAAGTGGTTTTGAGAGAGGTAAGGGGAGCATCCCCATGCCACCGTTCATCCCAGCGCTGTGAGAGGTGCAGAGAGCACCCGCCGGTGGTCTGGGATGAGCTCAGCGGCGGGATCGCGCAGATCCCTGAGCTCCTCACGCCAGCACGCACCCGGCAATCCCACATTGCGGAGCACACRCCAAAGCAAATCTCCAAGGCGTTGGTGCAGCCAGCCTTTATTTAATGTTTAGAAATTTAACGATGCCTTTGCAAGTGAAGGGAGGAACTGCCAAGGTGCTCCGGCGCCTTCCCGCCGCAAAGCGCCCGGTTCCCCATGGAGCCTCCAGGCCGGGCCCTGAGGCCACCTCTCTCCTCCCTCCCCACAGCCTGCGCCTGCCACCCGCTGGGCTCGGCCTCGCTGCCGCTGGCACCCGGCGCCTTCTGCGACCCCAGCACCGGCGACTGCCCCTGCAAGGCCGGCGTGGCGGGGCCGCGCTGCGACCGCTGCCTCCCGGGCTACTGGGGCCTGGGGCCGCACGGCTGCCGGCCCTGCCACTGCGCCCGCCGCTGCGACCCGCTCACCGGCGACTGCCTCAGCGGGTGAGTGGGGCCGCCCGCGCCCCGCGCACGGGAAGGGGGCGCGGGGGAAAGCGGGCGCCGAGTGCTTCGGGGTGAGGCGGGAGTCGGGGCCGGGCGTCGCTTCAGCGACGAGCAGACCGGCGCCGCTCACCRGCACGGTGGCGTTAGTCGTCCCCTGTGCCAGTGTGCGTGTGTTTGGGGCCAGCAGCTCTCCTGTTCTTTGTAGCTTTGTCCCTCAGCCGTTCCTGGGGTGAAACGTGAGCCCTGCAGAGACCCGAGCGAGTAGGGATGATGGCTCCATTAGTGGCCTTACCACTGCAATGCGGCTGGCACTGCCTGCTGTGGACATAGAGGCAAGCTATAGCACRCTGAAGTCACAGTGGCACTTTTTAAAAATAGCTGCCTGCCTGCATCTTACATCTTCCTCTTTTTTTTTTTCTTTCCCCTGTACTGATGATATTTATAAAAATATCCTAGAGGGCATTTTAAACCAAAAATGGATTTATAATCCACTCCGACAAAGAGCAAATTCTTCACTTCTTAAAATTGCTCCTTCCATCTGGGTGTGTTTAATACAATCAAGATGCACAGAGAAGGTCCTGGCTGGAAAACATCCTTAGTGGTAGACGGTGGTGGCTTCGCTCGCCTCAGGAGGAAGCCTTAGCGTGTCCCTTTCCTTCCAGCAGCGCGGACGTAGAGTGGCATCACGAAGTGCCTCCTTTCCAGGCGGTGCTCAACGACAGCGGGCCGGCCTGGGGCTGGGAGGACGAGCAAGGCTTTTCTGCGCTGCGGCACTCTGGTAAGATTGCTTTGCCCCAGRCCTCTTGCTAGGAGCCGAGCTGGAAATGGTCTCTTGCACTGCCTGGTGATTGATGCCTACAACTAATTGCAGGAGGGAACATATGTTCTCATAGCCCTCATTCACCTGCAGCCCTTCACCAACCTGCACACCCTTATGGCTCTCTCAGTCAACAAATATCAAGATGTGAAAATTGAGGCAGATATTCCAGGCTCAAAACCTGGACTGAGTGTGTAAATGCCAGCAAGGCAAGAATTATCTGCCTGAATTTTCAGCSCAAGCTCTGAATTTGAAGGCTTTTGGAAGCTTGAGTCACATCATTTAATAATTCTGTTGTATATGTTTTTAAAGGCTCTATTTGGTTTATTTTGTCCATAATATTTAAAATGTGTCTTTACATTTAGCAGACCTAATATGTTTTGCTASACAACCTAAAAACATTATTTGGAGCACTGATGCTCCATTTAATGGACAGAGACTTAGGAAATTCATGAATCAACAATTCAACAACAACTTTGTCATCACTTATAGCTGATGATGCAATTACAGATGACCTCATATTTCAGGTAAAGTTTCAGTCGGACAAGTTATTTTCCTCCTTTTCTCATAGTATGGACACCCCAGGTACAGTGTGTGGTTGTTGGTAGGCAGCCTAGCTGTAGGGTGAGTGCAGACAGATGACAATGTCCACCCTCCCTCGAAGCCATTGCAGACAAGCAAGCAAGTGTAACTGCTTACATTTTCAGAAAGCTGCATGATAAAATCTTGAAGATACAATAATTGAGTTAATTGAAGGGAGAGTGCTATCATTTATCCAGGCAATTTAAACATAAGCAAGTATATCATGTTCTTCTTTGTTCTAAACTCATGGAAGTCATCAGTCTGCCTTAACCTGTACGTTTCCTTTCAAAATTTTGTCTGGTTCCTTATGGTATGAAAAATACCACAGGGAAAGTCATGCTTATTATTTTCATCCTAATGCAAAATAATAAGGCCTTTGTTTACTTTCTCTTTAATCAGTAAACAAAAAATAATTGCCCTTGAACTAAGACTGTATTGAACCTAGGTCTGAAAACAGGGCTTTTGCATTGTGCATGTTTGGATTAGGTGAATATGTCCTGCCAAAGTAACCTGTCTGCAACACAGCTAAAGCTCCCCTGAAATACTGAGTCCTGGAGGGTCCCTGGAGTGTACAGAATATCATGTCTTTAACTGGGGAGCCCTTGGCCTCTAGCTGCAAAGGAGACCCTAAGATGGTGCATTTGCCAGTGGTAAGGAATTACCTAGAAAGTTGGGGAGGTTTCGCTGCTCAGTAGCAAGATGGGAGTAGCCCAGCTACRGAGTGTGTAATTTGTCTTCACCTTAATTATTATTGATTATGGTTGAGCAAGCTAGAGAAGAATCAGACTACCATAATTGTCCACAGGTTGGTGCCTCTCCAAAGGACTTCACAGAGGCACTTTGTAAAAAAACATGCTGGCTGCAGCTTATCAGAGAGCCTACCAGAAGAGAAATACTGGCAATTTCCTACCAGCGTCAGATGGACCAAGAGGCTCCCTCAGATTTTCTGTTTGCAGACTRATCTACCTCACTAAAGTCGAAGGCAAAGATTAGGTATCTTTTCACCTGGTGTGTTCCCAAATTTCAATGAAGATGCCCATCTGTTAGGTGCAACACATAGATGTTTATTTCATTCTCTTTTCACAGGTAAATGCGAATGTAAAGAACAAGTTTTAGGGAATCCCAAGGCTTTCTGTGGAATGAAGTACACCTATGGTGAGTTGCTTGGTGTGGTGGCTGGAGTRTAAAGGGAAGAGTTACAAGTCTGCTTAAGAGCAGGGGAACGTCAGAGCTGCTGCTTGTCACACTGAGCCCTCAGAAATCAGCAAGGGCTGCAGAAGGGGCATAGTGTAGGTTAAGCCTTTTACTGCAGTATGAGAGAGGAGGTACCTGTGCTATGTCCCATAAAAGCTCACTGGGTGTTTCACAGGACAGATATACAATCTGTCTTCAGTTTCACTATTTCAGGGATCATTTTCAAGGGGAAAATGTAAGTATAGGTTTATTTGCAGACATGAAGCTTTGGCTGGTATTTCCTGCCCTCCTGGAGCTCCCCAGGGAGCCTGGCTGTGTAAGAGCTTTSCCTGGTATCAGCTGCTGCTCCTGGGCACAGTGTCCAGAGCCCATGTGGGAAGGGCACGTCCTGTCCCACCACTGCCTGCACTCAGTAGTGGGCACTGGAGCACTTCAGTCATGTAAACCCATGGGCTGCTTAATCTGGAGAGAAATTCTAGGACTTCTTTTAATGTCTTCAAATGTATTTCAGTGTCAAATAGATATTTGTGCCCGGTCAATCTTGGTGAAAGCATTTCGTTCTATTACTTGCCCCTCTTTTCAGCTAAAATCCCAGGAAATTGCAGGAAAGCAGAGATGGGAAGGTCTCCGAGAGGCTGTCTAGGTCTGAGGCCRACTTGAAAGGACTATCATTAAAAACGGATTGCTGAAACTGTATCTGTAGACTAGGTGCCCCAAGCATTGTCTAGAAGGCACTAAATCTGAATTAAGCTGAACTGGAGGAGGGATGGTGGTCACTGCACAAGACACTCCACTGAGAACTGCTCCAGCAGCTATCGGGAGCTTTGGGTAAAATCCCCCCAGTCTGTGCTAGCAAACTGGCTCCTTCAGACCACTGCAGACCAAGGAATGTTTTTCCAACACTCCCTTCCTTCATAATCTTCCAGAGGGYTTTTGCACCTGTTCCATCTCACGCTAAACTTGAAAATGCACTGAGAGATAATCCATACCCTCGGCAGGCTGCAGAGCAAGCCACAAAGGGGAGTTCAAGGGGCCGCAGCTCGTTGAAATATAGCCCTGGCTTAGTGATAGTAGGAAAAAATCTGATTCTGCTTTGCTCTCCTTCCTGAACGCGATAGTGACTGTGTTTAATCTTGCAGAAGATAAGAGGAAAAAAAAAAGTTACAAAAATGCCAAGTTCATAAATCTTATCTACCTAAAGTGCACTCTGGTTTCCCACCCTTTCATCACTCAACATGCAACGGTATCTGCTGAACAGGAGAGACAGATGAATTAYGGGGCTCATCATGAGCTTCAGGAGGCCTTACTGTAGGAGGATGGGTTTCCTACACTTCATAGCATGCCCCCTAAATAARGTGCTGCCATGCACAGTGCCCACCTCTGTGGGCATCAGCGCGCCCTGGAAGTTGCCCATGCACCAGGCCCATGCCGTGCAGGGACACAGGAGGGTCATTGCCAGCACTCACTGAGCTTCTGGCCCGTCATATGTGGGAAACCCAAAGGTTGGAGTGTGTCTGTTGCTATCTGTGAGCTCAGAGGTGCCCACAATTTGGCTCGGTCCCCACCAATGTGTCAGTCTCAGCCGTGGCCTTGGGTTGGTGGTTCTGCAGAACTGGAGGGGCGGCAGCAGGAGCGCTCAGCCGCCCGCAGGAGCCCTTCCCCCTGCCTTGCTGCTTTCTGCATGAGGAGCACGGTTTGCAAAGCCTCAGGCTCCTTCCGTAGGACCGAGACTTGCAGCCTGATTTCCAACAGTGCTAAGGAAGCAGAAGTATTTGCCGAGCTCCAGCGGAGAACAGGGCCATCAAAAGTTGGAGAAATCAGGTCACTGGCCATCTCCTGCTGCCTGCTTGGCAAGTCCAAGTGTCGTGGGGAGACTAAGCCAGCGTGGTCCTGATAATAACTGGGGAGGACRTTTACCTAGTGCTGTGCCAAGCCTCAGCTTCAGCAAAGGTCATCAGGCTCATTCCGCYATAACCACATTAGACAAAAAGACTGTTATAAATACTTTATATTTTCTTTGTTTGAAATTCATGTCTTCACAGTGATAAAGACAAAAATCTTATCTGCTCACGATAAAGGCTCCCATGCAGAAGTCAATGTGAAGATCAAGAAGGTCTTGAAATCTACAAAGCTGAAGATTCTCCGGGGCAAGAGGACTCTCTATCCTGAATCCTGGACTAACAGAGGCTGCACTTGTCCAATCCTTAATCCTGGTAGGTATTTAATTTTGTCACCATGGAAAGTACACACCATATTTATACATATTTCATTATCACTCCTAAATTCCCTTATACCAGTGAGCTTAATTGTAGCCTAATGTTGATTAAATTACTTTTACTTCATTTGGATTCCAAAAGCAATCTCTGTCAATTATGGATTTTCATAGAAAAACATTTTTTCATTCTTTAGACTTTCAAAATGAAATTGCTCTTCATGAATTGCAATGACAGTATTCCAGCTTCACGAGTCTCACTGATTCCCAAAGGGAGGCAGATGTGTATCACACCTCAGCTATATGACMTATCTTTTCAAAACTGATGCCAATCTGAATCCATATGAACATTCAGACCTCATCTAAGTCATGCTACTGTTCTGAAGTTATCATCTAATCTCAAGGGAAGGTGTCCCTTTGAAAGTAAATGTTTGCACCCATAAGGTACAGAGGAAACTATTCTGCCTTCTGCAGTGATAGGAGAGCTTCACACTTCATCTTCTCTCTCTTTTTTTGTTTTTCCCTCTCATATTTCACTGAAATGAAGTGTGATCAATGCCAGTTAAATAGTGTGTGCAGCCTCCTGCAGGGTTTGGGAAATGCAGACTCAGGGTTGTTTTCCACAGAGCCAAACTAAGATCCCGCTGCCGCACCTTCCTTTATGGCTGCAAGATAAAGCAAGTCACTAGCGAATTCAGATAAAGGATTTTCTTTCTGCAGTGTAAACACATCACTTGGGAATCACCCTATCAAAATGCAGACTTAAATACCGAGATTTCCTTTAGATGTGCAGCATTAGGAACTTCTTTTGGGAGGAAGGGGCCGTCTGCGAGGTTGAATCATGCAGAAAGGTTATTCATTGATGAGATATTTGCAGCCTTTCATCTCCACCGGAGTGCCTGTAGTTGGCTTTGAAGGCAAGAGCACAGCTGTATGAGGATRCCTTGTCAGGTGCAAGGGTCAGATGAATCAGCAGCATTAGGCAGGACTTTTCCATTTAAAAGCTGTAGGATTTTTGGATAGCAGTAAAACCCTGTAAATCCATAATTAAATAGATACAGGTGTTTAATCTTTCCATATGCAATACAAGTCCAGACATAGCTGCCCTGCTACAAACCTATAAAGAAACGCCATGCGAGCAGACACCAGATCCACAGGGTGGCCCCTCAGCTGACACAGAGCTCTGAGGCTGCCCGAGCCCAGCACCRTTTCCCTGGATTCCCCCAGCAGAGGTGAGCGAGCCCACAGCAGCACAAGCAGTTAAATCACTGCCCCTGGACAGCAGGAAAAGAGAGAGGGTGCAAATGCTCCGCAGCGCTTGGCACGCTGGTGTTACTCTCTCCTTCCTGGCCCCTTGCCAGATTGCTGGCATGAAAACCAGCTGGCTGGTGCCTGGGGGTTTAAGCTGCTAAAAAGTGTCTACAAAAAAAGCTAAGTGGGCCCTTTGCTCAGATTTGCTGCAGTTTAGTGGAACAGCCTTGAAGTGCACGGTGCTCCTGTGCAGGTATTTTTCCACTCTTTCAACCTTGGACAAGTTGGTCGGGGAAGGTATCTRCAGTGTTGCCCCCTCCTGCGTTTTGCACTGCAAAGCTTGGTGTTTTCTGCAAATGCAGCTGCTGGAGTCCCCTGAGTTCACAGTCACACATTAATCTCCGTTTTTGTGTTAACAAGTAGTAATGAAGTTTCTAAAATCTCTTGGTCCTAAGGGGAATCTGCAAAAATACCAGCTGTTCACATCATGCAGAGTCACAGTTTTCAAAGAGGAAAAATGGGAATAATCCCAAGTATTTTTTTCTAAATTCTCATGATTTTTTTAGCTACCACATTCATTTCTGGATAGTTGCAATACCATACTAGCAGATTTAACCCCCTCTCAGAGTCAGAGCTTATGACCTCCACATGAAGAAACAACCAACAGGATAAAAAGCCAAGTTGACATAAAACAATTTCCTGACATAGAGCTTTAATGGAAATCACATCTCTTCAAAACACAGGGGAGATCAAAGATCAAAATATTTTAAAAAAGGCATATTTTTAATATTTTTATTCTGTTTCACAACGCTGAAGTGATACCGAACAGGCTTTTAGAGATTTTGGCAAGAAATAAAGACTCCAAACGTTTATCAGGTCTCTGCAGGCTGTTGCTCAGCTGATGAACGTGCKTAGGAGTCCCATGAGGGATAGTTACTACACACACACACACACGGAGGCAGGCGCAGGGTAAGTTTCCAGGAGAACAGCAATCATCAAAGTTGTCAGTGTCTCAGCCACCTTCCCGGGAACAAAGTCCCCTTTGCAGCCTCAGCTCTGCCGGGCACAAACAGAGTTCCTGGGAGCAGCAGGATAAAACGCAGAGCTCAAGCTCGGGCTTGGGGCACCCCAGTCATTTGTTTCCTTTTATTTTTGCGCTTCCATAAAGCCAGATTAAAAATCAAATGAAGCCCTCCTGAGACCACAGCCAATGTAATATTTGCTTTCCCTTGGAGCATGTGCGTGTGTTCCGCTTGTGCCTCAAGGCAGATAGTTTTGCTGGCACACAAATGTGAGGAGTGACATTTATAGCAGTGCTGAGCCGTGCAGCACTGACTGCTTTGCTGCTTTGCAGGCCTGGAGTACCTGGTAGCGGGACACGAGGATGTGCGGACCGGCAGACTCGTGGTCAACATGAAGAGCTTTGTCCAGCAGTGGAAGTCGGCCCTGGGAAGGAAGGTCCTGGAGATTCTGAAACGAGACTGCAACTAGGAGTGCACGGCCGCCTGCGGCCTTTCTTTATGCACAAAATGCAACCTTCGCGGAGAGAAGACCTCTAGGATGAAAACTGGAATGTAAAGAATAGTGCCAAGATGTGTAGCGAGGTGTTCCGGTTTGTAGGCACTGCCTGATTTAGCCCTTCCCAGTTGATGCTCATTTCCTCTCCTCAGCTTCTTTGCCAGGGTGCTCGCGTGAGCCCGTGGCCACAGTTACGTTGAGGGAAATCCAGGCAAGGGTGGGTTCTTGTCCCACTGCAGTGCAATCCTGGAATAACTCCTGCAAAGCCACCCCGGAATCAGTCGTTGCCCTGGAGAGGCAAAGGAAGCTCCACTGTGACCGGGATAAATCCAGAGTGGGGTGATGCCCCCGGATTTCTTCCCGTGCGCTGTGGGGAAGGGAGGGCCGTGGGCGGCCACGCGCCGGGGCTGCGCCCAGGGTGCCGCAGCAGCAGGAGGGCAGGGGTCCCTCTGCCTCGGCACGGGCCTGCTGAGAGGCAGGTCCCATCCACGGTGCCGCTGGAGCAGCCGCTCCGGCCAGCGGAGCGTCCCTGAGCTTTGGTCCATGAAGGGTTAGGAGTATGAGCCTGTCCCAATGTAAATATGTCATTGTGTAAAGCACTTTACTACCCGCCACTTTGTGGCGTGGAAAGTCTAACTGTGTGGGGGGAAGAAGCTGTTGAAAGTGGCACAAGAGAAAATACTTGTGGAAACAGAAGCACTCCTGAAAGGCGCGTTGTGGACGGCGTTAATGGTATAAAGGGAACGGCCGGCCTGGCTCTGGCCGCTCAGAGGAGCTGAGGATGCAATGTGAAAGATGATGTATTTGCACTGAAGTCCCAGTTTCAGACCAGCACTTGGACCCTATGGGTAGGACTCCAGCGAGACTTCATAAACAGTATCAAACGAAGAAGAGACTTGGAAATAAAAAAATGCAATCACCACAGGAGAAAACCGCCTGCTGGAAAAGCAATGGATTCTGAGGACCGAAAGGACTCTCATTTACATATCACAAGACAGTGATTCATGGTGGGCCTGGAGTTTATTTTATTTTTATGTTAGTATTTAAAACTGAACATTTGATCTGTTTTATTCCGTGTTTTTGTTTGCAATATCTATGGTCATTATACTTCCTCATTAACACCAGTACAGAATATAGCACAGTTTACTGCAGTTTTCAGCACTAAAGTATATCTTTCTGTAAAGCATCTTTAAACACATTGCATAGAGTGTATTTTGTTCATGAGTGTGAGAGGAGAGAAAAGGAAGATGTGCAACACCATAAAAGCCCAAGTCTACCAATCCACTTATGTATTTTTCTTTCAAGGTCCTGTGGACTCACAGAAAATGATACTATTTTGGTAATTCATTTTTATATCTCATGTATGTAATAAATATAATATGATTTCAACATCTACATCTCTGGTTACTGTTCGTGCTACTCTCCATGCCGGCACTAAAGAGCACGCGATAAAGTAGGATGAGGTGCAGGAAAGTTGTCATGGGAGCATCAATTCCCCTGCGCAAGGCAAACCTCTCCGTGTGGCAAAGGCCAGGCAACGTGGATGGCTCACAGCAATCCGGTTTCAGGGCTATTTGACGCGACTTAGTTATAGGCCTTTCCCAAAAGAGGGGGCATTTCTACCAAAAATTTTTAGAGCTGACCTGATGCCTGAGCTGCAGAGTGGTTTCTGATAGAGAGCAAGATGTGGATGATTAAAATCACACTCACTCTCTGCATTTGAAACTGTAATGGGAAAAGAAAAACTAAAAGCCCGTGGGAATGCACGCTGTGGCAAAGGTCTATAAAGATGCCCCAGAGTGAAAAGAAGCGTCGGGAAGGAGTGTCCGGAGGGTGCAGGGCAGCGCGGCAGGGCCCCTCGGCTGGGCGCGCTTAGCGAGCGGCCGCCGCGGGCAGCAGCTCCCGCGCTGCGCGGCTCCCACCGGCACAGGGAAGCAGGGCAGCGGCCGGGAAGGGCGTCCGCAAAGCCTCCCCTCTGCCAGCTGGTTCGCTCCTGTGCGGGACAGCAGCCTTGGGCTGGGGAAGCGCTGCCTCCCTGCGCTCCAGGGAATGGGGACGGCCCTGGGGGTGCTGCCGGGGAGCAGGGGAATTTGCTTCCAGCACCTTCCTGCTTGCCATCCCAGCCTCGGTCAGGACGCTGCCCATTTTACAAAGGAAGGGACTTGTTCGCTTGTACCACAGCTTGTGTCTTACCTACGAAACCTGCCCGTGAGGGGTTKTTATTACAGAACTTTTGCTGAGAGGAGAAACGTTCCTTCACCTTAAGCAAGCCAGTCAGAATCTCTCTCATCTTCAGACCTACCCATGGCTCTTTGGATCTTGTTTTTGGCAGGATTACAGGTGTTTCCTAATTCCTTTCAGCTGGGATTCACATAGATGGAAATACCAGATACCCTGAGCCACAAAGGCTGGACAGATCTGTTGTACAGCTATGAGCTCACTGTTAGTTTCAAGGCACTCTCCCTGTACGTACTTTGTCATATCCTCCCTATATATGCTTTGTCATACCACCCATCCAGAGCCAGCCACTTGCCAGAAAGTGCAGCAGCTTTGTAGCCAGCTGAAGGTGTTAGAAGCAGCTTTGGCTTCCTGTCTGAATGGGGACAACAGGAGAAAATAGGTGCCAGCAGATTCACGTCCACACTGAGCCAGAAGAGAAGGAACAACTCAGYGCTCTGGAAGTGAAGGGAGATGCAGAGCACCTACAAGGCTGGAAGAGCTARGGTTTGGTGGGACAGTCAGCTCTCTAGGGACTTTGGCTGCCATGAACTCAGCCTGGCCAGGAGATGCTCTTGCTCCAGGCACGAGTGCTGGCTGCTCTTTAGGAGCATGTGGCAAGGTGCAGAGTAGCAGGCTCAAGTTCGAGTGCTGGCCATTGCTCAACTGCAGCAACTCGAGTTTTAAACAAGATTTTAAGCAAGAAATCTTGACTTGTGAATGTGGCCTCCAACATTGGCAAAGATGGGCTCCAATCAAAACTCCTGTGTCCCATGGCATTAAGTATTGTCAAACAGTCTCAAATCAGTGCTTTTTTGCCCCCATCTTGAGAGTTAACAGGATTGATTCAAAGATAAACCAGCTGTTTTCCAAGCTCACGATGAAAGAACTAAAAAGCAGTAAACTGCGTAACTGCAGTGCATTATAACACGACAAGACCTGGGGCTTTGCACACCACTGCTCGAAGGATTAATTGTGCCTGCAGTGAAGGGCAGAGTGAGCAGGCCATACATCAGCAAAGAGGAAAAGCAACCAGGTTTCACATAACCCTTCTGCTCACATGAGACCACCTCGAAGCAGCAGCAGCAGGGCAGCCCACCAAGCCCTTCTGCAGCTTGAATAGTGTGTTGGGACAACTAAGKCTTTACAACCGAGTGAGTTCATTGGGTGTAGCCTGATTTATATTTTTAATTCTATCTTTTGTATGTATAAGAAGAATGTGACAGCTTTCCCTACCTACCTGAACAGCAGATTTATTGCTCAGTAGCTCTAGGAGCAGCAGGGTGGCAAAACAGCCATCCCACTGCGTGGCAAAACCAATGGCAGGAAAAGCAGCACTGTTGCAGTCATCAGCTCGGCAGGCACAGAGGGGTCTTCTCCTCCAAACCCACACCAAGGGCCTCGCAGTCGGCAGTGACTGGTGAAGGCAAAGCTGGTGACCTACCACAAGCTTAGCCCAGTGCTTGGAGAAGGTGGCACATCCCCATTTCCCCGAGCTGGCCCAGCATCATCTCTCAAGCAGACCAGCGTACAGATGCTAATACTTGCCAAGTGCAAATGTGGTCAACTTCTATCCTACTGCTTCAAAGGACCTCCCAGGCCAGACGCTCCTGTGCAGCCCATTCTGCAAGGAGCGTGAGGGGGGACAGCTGAGGGGCCGAGTCATGGGCAAGAGCACTTCAACACCTCCAGTTTGGGCCTGTAAAAGACCACTTCTCGCTTTGGCCCTCCTCAACAGATACCTCCTCAGAGCTGTGGAGTCTGAGGTGTTTTACAAGGTGTAAGTGAGACACCATGGGGACCATGGACCATGAGAGATCAAGGTGTAAGTGAGAGCCCATGGGCACAGCAACTGCCTGCATCCCTGGCCTCCTCCTCGCCTGCAGCAGCGGCAGGAGGGCCTGTCCAGCTCACAGACACCAGCAGCGCTTCCCCACACCTCCAGGGAGCTGAACTGGGCACAGAGAGGCCTGGCCGGGCCCAGGAGCCAGAGACACCACAGGACGCCCAGGGAGGGCTCCGGTAGAGCAACCGTGTGATATTTCTCCTGAGCACTGTCCCAGCCTCCGGCTGCTTTCAGCTCAGGGAACACCGCAGCCTGATGCGGTTTGCTGTTTTTAACTCAGGGAGCCCCCGATCTTGCCTGGAAGCCCAGCACCCACCATGTTGTGCACSCACAAAACAGGGGTCGCAGCGCCCGGCTGGTTGCAGATGGACAGAGAGGGGCAGGTGCTGCCACTTCCCTTCCTCAGCACCTCCCACAGGAGTCCCTGCCTCAGCCTCTGGCAAAACCCCTTCCTGCCCACAGGGTGCTCTAGAAGGGCCTGTGCGGAGCTCCCTGCAAGCGCTTGGTGCCTGTCCCTGCCATCCCTCGCTGCCTGCGGAGGGATGCGGCCTTCCTTTGCAGTGGAAAATTACAGGCGTGTTTAATATAGTTGCTGCAACGGGCTAAATCTTCTGGGATGTGACCATGTTACTGAAAATGCCTGAACATCTGGTACTACCGGACAGCCTAAATGGAAAGGCGGGCTGGTATGGGTAAACATAACAACTCTGGAACAAATAGCTGCAGTGTATTTTTTTTTTCCTAATCTTTATTTTTAGTTGTCATATTGACTTCAGTATCAACAGTGAATAGAGAAAACATCTCAAACATGTCCGGTGGCTGCCACCCCAGCATCCAGAAGAGCCGTATCTCCGATAAGGCGGGAGGAGATCAGCTGTGCGTGGACCTTCTGGGCTGATGTGTTGCTTTTTTGATGACGGTGTTTCCAAAGCATGCCCTTGCCCAAGGGTCACAGCTTCTTGCCGCTTTTTTCCCACAGTTCGGCATGGAAATAGTATGAATGCTTTTTATTGCTCCAATGAAGGCAACGTGGCTTCCACAAGGCTCACGGGCTGGGAGATATACTATATATGGGAAACTTGCTGGTACATTGAAAACGTTAGCGTGGTCAAGAGGCTAAATGCTACAAGAGGGACTGAGAGAGGAGCTCTGTGTGCCCAGCTGGGCCCTGAAACATGTCCACCTCCTGCTTTGGTCGCTCCGGTGGCTTGTTTGCAGCAGAAATCAAGCCGAGCCGATCATGGATTTGTTGTGCTCATGGACACGTGCTCACGGGCACGCTGTGAAGCCGGGCTGATGCTGGTGGCCAGGGAGGACTTTGCCATGCTGAAGTCTTGATCCTTGCAATGTAGTCTGGAGCTCAGGGCACCTCCACGCTCTGCCTGGACACTTTGGTGGCAGTAGAAGAGGCACAAAAGAGGGTGCTCGGTGTGCTGAGGGTGTGGGTGCCTGAAGGTGCCCTGTGGGACTCCTCGATGCTTCATTTCCCTGATAGCGTTTTCTCTGCTCACATCTCTGGCAGATTGTTGCTCATGCCAACAGGGTTTCTTTCCTTGGTTGTTCTTGCAATGTTTTATACAGAACTCATTTATGCTCACCAAGCACAGGACCTGTATTTTAAATCAGCTGGAAGATAGGACTGGCCAAAGGCTCTTGGATCTGTTTAAAAATAGACATGAAAGAATAAATTACTTCCTAAAAGTAACATGAGCAAAGCTTCCCTGAGCTGATTTGCTGTGGACTCCTTTCAGCAGGTGCAAAATCCAGCCAGCTGTTGCATCCTGGCTTGGGACACAAGCTGAAGACTGAAACTAAGACAAAAGAGGTCAAACGACCATACCTTAGGCTAGCTTTAAGTTTAAGAAGAGGAGTAAAGAACTTCCTAAAGCTGCATTTGCTGTGCATGTCAGATTGATGCACAACACCTCGATATAGTTCAGTAGGAAATATTTTTTAACATCACAACCTTAAAAAGTGCAGCTGTAAAATATGTAGTTGCTCTCTGTCTCTGCTGTTTGGAGGATCAGGTTCTCCTCTCTTTTATTTGCATGAAATGCAACCCACATTTGTGCAGCCCCAGCTGGGCCAAAAGCGCCACACAGACTTTACTAGGGCTTTTCTGCATAGCAGAGGCATAAGGAAATGCTACTTCAGAGGCACGAGCACAGGCTGGAGGTTCACCACACGTAGGGTGAGGCACCAGGAGCAAGGGGCAGTGGAGTGAGGATTCCCCCAGGGCTG